TAGTAGTAGTAGTAGTAGTAGTAGTAGTAGTAGTAGTAGTAGTAGTAGTAGTAGTAGTAGTAGTAGCAGTAGTAGTAGAAGAAGAAGTAGTAGTGGTAGTAGTAGTAGTAGTAGTGGTAGTAGTAGTAGTCGTAGTAGTAGTAGTAGTAGTAGTAGTAGTAGTAGTAGTAGTAGTAGTAGTAGTAGTAGTAGTAGTAGTAGTAGTAGTAGTAGTAGTAGTAGTAGTAGTAGTAGTAGTAGTAGTAGTAGTAGTAGTAGTAGTAGTAGTAGTAGTAGTAGTAGTAGTAGTAGTAGTAGTAGTAGTAGTAGTAGTAGTAGTAGTAGTAGTAGTAGTAGTAGTAGTAGTAGTAGTAGTAGTAGTAGTAGTAGTAGTAGTAGTAGTAGTAGTAGTAGTAGTAGTAGTAGTAGTAGTAGTAGTAGTAGTAGTAGTAGTAGTAGTAGTAGTAGTAGTAGTAGTAGTAGTAGTAGTAGCGCCAGAACCGCCAACGCCACGCCGTAAGCGAAGCAGCAGCAGAAGCAGGCAGCAAGTCGCCGAGACAGCAGCGAAAGCACGCAGGCACGGAGATGAGGACGGGGCATGGAACATACGTGCGCACACACACATAAGTACATATACATATATATATATAGCAGCAGCAATAGTGGATGCTGTCTGCGCTATGCTACGCTATGCTATGCTATGCTCTGCTCTGCTCTACTCTGCTATGCTGTGCTATGCTATGCTATGCTGTGCTATGCTATGCTGTGTTATGCTATGCTATGCTATGTTATGCTATGCTATGCTATGCTGCGCAATGCTTTGCTGGGCTAGGCTAGGCTATGCTATGCTATGATATGCTGCGCTATGTTATGCTGCGCTATGCTATGCTATGCTATGCTATGCTATGCTATGTTTTTGCTTTGCCTTCGCTTTTGCCTTCACTTTTGCCTTTGCTTTTGCTTTTGCCTGGCACCCAGGGAGCGCAACTGGGGGAACCGCGCGTTTGCTGTTACCTTTGCTGCTGCTTTTGCTTGGCTCCCAGGGGACTGGGGGAACTGCCCGGGGCGGTTTCCACTGCCCGGCCCCTTTAAGCCAACAGAGTAAGAACCCTTCTAGGCAGAGCCTAGATCCCCCATATTCTCCCATATTTTCTGGGTTTCTGGCTTCCCCCCCACTGCCCATATTCTCCCATATTTTCTGGAGAATCGACGATGCATTGTGTCTGTATGTTTTTGTCCCCTCCTGCTTGTTGCCCTCAAGGCGGCGCGAGCCCGCGCTCCAGGTCCCCCCGAGCTCCAGGAGGCACCCGGGGCAGGGCGAGCCCTCCCGAGCAGCCCGTCGTCGGCGGCCAAGGTTGAGAGTCCTGCCCAGCGGCCCTTCGTGGCGAAAAGCGGCTGCTCCTAGGGCTCCCAACTTCGCGCTTCGCGCTCCGCGAAGCGCGCATAACGTCGCGCTCTCGCGCCGTCCCCCCAAAGGGAGAAAAGGAGGACGAGGAGGAGGGGGAGAAGGAACGAGGACCGCGAAGCGCGAATAACTTCGCGCCCTCGTGGGAGCCCCTGCTGCTCCCTCCTGACGCGGCAGACATCGGTTCCTGCGACCAGCTCCGGAGGGAATCAAAATACACAGACACAATTAACCGTCGATTCCCGCCGGCCGAGGCTGTCGCCCAGCAGGACGAGGTGCCGCACGACCTCCTCGCAGCCGTCGCGGGCTGCCCACGCCAGCGCCCTGAGCGGGGGCCGGGGCTCCGGCTCTGCGCGCGCCCGCGATGCTGCGACGAGGCAGGAGCCCTGCGGACTGTTTCTCCACCGCAAGCACCGCCTCCTCCTCCTCCTCCTCCTCCTCCTCCTCCTCCTTCTCCCCCTCTTGCCTCCTCCTCCTCCTCCTCCTCCTCCTCCTCCTCCTCCTCCTTCTCCTCCTCCTCCTCCTCCTCCTCTAGACGCCCTGCGTCATGACTCGTTCGTGAAGTCCGCCCTCGGAGGCCTTGACCGATTCTTTGGGGGCCGGTCTTCGATCCTGCATCGTTTTTTTGACGGCCTCGGGATCTGGTACAGTCGGGGCGTTGGCCTAAGGAACCCTAAATAAGGAACGAGGCCCCTGTTGTCCACAATTTAAACTTCGATTCCCCTATCGAAAACCTAAGGACAACCTAAGGCAAGCTGCGAAACAAATGAGGAACACGGAGCCCATCCCCAACGAAAAGGGTTCCTTGTTCAGCGCCCCGCCTGTAAGGGTCCCCCGAGGCCAGAGAATGTGGAGAAACCTGCCGTCGTGATTGTTCGTGCCTCGAAGGGGTCTGGGTCGAGCGCCCGCGCCCCGGGGTCGCCGCCGACTCGTCACGACACGGATCTGCCGTGGGTCACCCCCTCCCCAGGACGGCCGCCAGGACGAGGGCAAAACCAGGTGAAGATGCATCGAACATCTCTGAGGACCCGCGGCTCTGGAGGATGCCTGGGCGCCGCGGCCTTCCCAGAGCGTTCTGGAAGGCTCTGGAACGGATTCATCCTCGTCCTAGCCCCGCCTGGCAAAGGCCTCCAGAGGCTCTGTGGAAGCTCAAGAAAGGGCAGGCCGCCTTCCAGCCGCTGCGCCTCCTTCGAAGAAAAGCACCCCCGTCATCATGGATGTCCCGTTCTCCCTGCCTCCTCCTCCTCCTCCTCCTCCTCCTCCTCCTCCTCCCCCTTCTCCTCCTCCTCCTCCTCCTCCTCCTCCTCCTCCTCCTCCTCCTCCTCCTCCTCCTCCTCCTCCTCCTCCTCCTCCTCCTCCTCCTCTCCTCCTCCTCCTCCTCCTCCTCCTCCTCCTCCTCCTCCTCTCCTCCTCCTCCTCCTCCTCCTCCTCCTCCTCCTCCTCCTCCTCCTCCTCCTCCTCCTCCTCCTCCTCCTCCTCCTCCTCCTCCTCTCCTCCTCCTCCTCCTCCTCCTCCTCCCCCTCCTCCTCCTCCTCTCCACCTCCTCCTCCTCCTCCTCCTCCTCCTCCTCCTCCTCCTCCCTCCTCCTCCTCCTCCTCCTCCTCCTCCTCCTCCTCCTCCTCCTCCTCCTCCTCCTCCTCCTCCTCCTCCTCCTCCTCTACGTCCCCCTCCTTGTCCCCCTCCTCCTCGTCGTCCGTCGTCCCCCTCCTTGTGCTCCTCGTGCGCGCCTGGAGCGGGTTTCTCCTCGCCCTGGCCCCGCCCGACCCCTCGCCGCTGCGAGGGACGCTGACCGGCGGCCGGCGGGGGCCGGCTGCGCGCTCGCGCGGGTCGAGGGCAGGCTGTCGGGAGGGCAGCAGCTAGGGCGACGAGATCTATACAGGGCAGTTCTTATCACATAGGATGGTTTAAACTATGTGATGGTTTAAAGCATGATTCCTTTATGAATAAATCTATGCATGGACTCAGGGTTGCTGTTAATGCCAAACCGTGCATTTTTAACACATGATCCGCACGCGGAGCATGTATTAAAAACGGCACTGTATACCCTTGCTTAGAAATTAGAAACCTTTCGGCTAAAAGAAAGCACTTCTCCAAGCGGCTTCTTAAGCAGCAGTCCAGGCCCAGATCTACTGACATTCTTACTTGAGGAAAAAGGCCTCAAGAAAACGCCCAGGGGTCCAGTCCAAATTTCTGATTTTCTTTGGCAGAATCTGGAACCCAAGGACATCCACGCTTTCTCTTAAGAGTTCTGATTATAATGGATTGTACACGTCGATTGGAAGAGGTAGGTAAAACAACAAAAATAAGTAGGAAGGCGGCTAAAGCAGATTGGGCCCAGGCCCTCCCAGAGAATAGCAGTACACAGCGAACGAATATCGACTCTTGAAGCAAGAAGGCGATTGAAGTACAGTGAGATCTGGGAATGCAATAACCCTGAGATCCGACGTTGCGGAACAAATGCAACATCATCATAAGTCCCGACCAAAGGCCCAGACCCCAGCAGTCTGCGTCATTATTGGAGCGGGATCAATCTGTGAGGGTCCCGGGGCCCGAAATGGGGCGAAGACGCCCGCTGTGAAAAAATGCAAATCCAGGATCTCAAGAAAATCTCTGCTTTCAACGACAGACGGGTGCATGTCCACTGCCCCTGACCTGGCCCGTCCTCCTCCTCCCTCCTCCTCCTCCTCCTCCTCCTCCTCCTCCTCCTCCTCCTCCTCCTCCTCCTGCACCTCCTCCTCCTCCTCCTCCTCCTCCTCCTCCTCCACTGCCCCTGGCCCGGCCTGTCCTTGGCCCAGGAGCGGTGGAGGTCACGCCCCCACTGGACAGGCCCGAAGGCCGCATACACGTCTGAAGACACACGCGCCAACAAGCAACAGGCAACAGGAGGAGCTGGGCGGCCAGAAGGGCACCGGCTTCTCCTGGGGAAGGGCGCACCTGTCGTGAACCTCCGGGGCCCCAGGGAGGCCCCTCGAGGGCCCCCTTCCTGCGGCCCTCGCCCAGACCCCCAGCAAAATCCTCCGATCCTCCGCTCGTGCACCCTCGGGGCCGCAGGGGGGCCTTTGCGGGCCCCCTCTCTAGAGGGGCCCAGAGACACACACATACAAGGATTACCTTATATTTTCAAATATTTTCTGGGTTTCTGTCTTCCCCCCCACTTCGCCGATCTTCCCATATCTTCCTCAGAGTCGACGATTCATCGAGTGTGTGTGTGTGTGAGTGTGTGTGTGTGCGTTTTTTCCCCTCCCGACTCTCTGCAGCCCTCGACACCCCCCCCCTCCACTTCTCGCTTCCACTTCGGGGCCGCCGGGGCCCCTTTCAGTCGACTGCGCGCAAGAGTGGCCCTGGGCAAGGAGTGACCTCTGGTGCGCGGCTTCGGGGGGCCGCGAAAGGCCCGAAACCAAGCGAGCGGGACGGTGCTGGGGCCACCCATGTGAGCCCGCACCAGAGGCCACTCCGGCGGAGGATCACTCCTGACCGTAGCCGGCTCAGGGCCCCCCTCTTGCAGCCATCTGCCCGCCATCGCTCGGAGGACGCGCTTTCCCCGTACACTTTTTGATTTCGTCGAATGTGGTCCTCCTCCTCCTCCTCCTCCTCCTCCTCCTCCTCCTCCTCCTTC